ATATCCAAGGATCATGAGGTAATTCTATTTTTGGCTTTTTGAGAACTGCCTCTGTTGATAGCCATTACAGTTATGTCAATTTAAATTCATAACAATAGTTATAAATATTCATCCCTGCTCCACATTTGAACCTTCTTTAGCCTTGATTTGCCTTTTTATTGTTGGTTTTGTTGTTGATACCATTCTGGTTGGGGTAAAAGGAAAATCCACCATAGTTTCAATTTGCATTTTCCTGATGGCTAAAGATGTTGGACATGTCTTCATGTAATTATTGGGTGTATTCAACTATTTTGACAACTGTCTGCTCAGTTCTTGTGTTAATTCTTAGTGATTGGACTGTTTCCTTTTGTGTTACTTTTTGAATTTTTGATATATCACTGTTATTAATCCTCTGATAGATGACTTTCTGGCCAGGTTTTTTTTTCATCCTGCATATTATTTCTTATATGATGGTGGAGCACATCTTTAATCCCAGTACTCAGGAGGCAGAGGCAGGTGAATCTCTGAATTCAAGATCAGCTTGGTCCACAGAGCAACTTCCGGGATACCCAGGTCTACCCAGAGAAACCCTGTCTCAACAAACAAAAATAATAATACTATTAATAAAACTTTTTTCTGGAGTTGGTTTTTTTCTTCCACTATCTGAGTCCTGGAGATTGAACTGAGGTTGTCAGGATTGGACGGCACACTTACTCGCTGAGCCATCTTGACAGCCTCAGAGTTTTTTCTTCACTTCAGAAATTGATTCCTCTGCTATGCCGAAGGTTTTGAATTTGATGCAAGTCCATTTTCCTTAGTAATGTCCTATTTAGTAGTATGTCTTTTCCTGTGAAAATATCATGATTATTGATTCACAATTTCTTTTATTTTAGAAATGTCACATGTTACATTAAGGGAGAGGCAGGCATTTGGTGTCACTCTTCAGCATATGGAGATCCTGTCTTCCCAGGAAGTTGTGACTTTTTAGAAATGGGTCTTCTATTTTAATAACTGTTTTATTTGTCTACATGTCTGCTTTGTTCAGTGTTTTATAATTTTCTTTGTATTGATATCTTGTCTCCTTGGTTAGGTTTACTCTTAAGTACTTTTTTGGGGAGGGGCAAGGTAGGGTAGAAGTGTTACCCTTATTGCTAATGGGATAGTTGTGTTGATTCTTTTCCAGCAAATTCACATGCAGTGAAAACTGTTAGATTTGTATCCTGATATTTGCTGAATTAATTATTTCTATTATGTTTGCTTGTTTGTTTGTTGTGTGTGTGTATATGCCTGCATGTGTGTATGTGCGTATGCACACATGTGTGCATGTACCCACATGTGTGTAAGTTCCAGTGTGCTACGGTGATGTCTGGCAGTCAGAGGGTAACTGGCAGTTGTCTGCTCTCTTTTTCCACTGTTTATGACCTAGAGATTCAACTCGGATCGTCAGGCATGGCAGCAGGCACCTTCATCTGCCCAACCCTTTCATTGGCTCTTTTCCTGAGATCCTGAAGAAAACCATAGATTACTCATCTGATATCTTTATTTCTTATAAATTCAAACATTCACACATATAAGCTTTCTTCTGTGGACTGTATTCATTGCACCTCATAGGCTTGTGGCATATGACATTTCCATTTCTCTAAGACTCTGAAAACTTAATTTCTCTCATTTTTTTTCAGTGACACTGCTTATGGGCGTAATGGTAATTCTCATGTATTAAGAACATTCTGTAAATTTCTCTTGCTGTTTATTTTTCGTTTAATTCAGTTATGATCCAATAAAATGCAAGAAATTATGTCCTTTTCGGTATTTGTTCAGATCTGATTCATAGTTGAACACATGATCTGTTTTTTAAAATGTTTCATGAGTTGCTGAAAAGAATTTGTTTTTTGAGACTATTGAACTATTCTGTGGGTGTCTGTTAAGTCCTTTTAATATGGTGTTTAACTTTAGGATTTTGTTGCTATTTTTTTTTATTGATATCTATCTACTAATAAAAGGGGGCATTAAAATCACTCACCAGTATTGTATTGAGCCTATTATGTGATTTATTCCCAGTATTATATTTTTATAAAGTTTTGTAGTCTGACATCATTTGTGCATACAATGTTATCACTTGTGCATATGATGTTATCACTTGTGCATGTGATGGTATCACTTGTGCATGTGATGTTATCACTTGTGCATATGTTGTTATCACTTGTGCATGTGATGTCATCACTTGTGCATGTGATGTTATCACTTGTGCATGTGATGTCATCAATTGTGGATGTGATGTCATCACTTGTGCATGTGATGTCATCACTTGTGCGCGTGATGTCATCACTTGTGCGCGTGATGTCGTCACTTGTGCGCGTGATGTCATCACTTGTGCGCGTGATGTCATCGCTTGTGCGCGTGATGTCATCACTAGTGCGCGTGATGTCATCGCTTGTGCGCGTGATGTCATCGCTTGTGCGCATGATGTCATTGCTAGTGCGTGTGGTGTCATCACTTGTGCGTGTGATGTCATCACTTGTGCATGTGATGTTATCACTTGTTCATATGATGTCATCACTTGTGCATGTGATGTCATCATTTGTGCATATGATGTCATCACTTGTGCATGTGATGTTATCACTTGTTCATATGATGTCATCACTTGTGCATGTGATGTTATCATTTGTGCAT